GACCAAGCTCCTGTACTAAGCTACAACAGACTAGACTAAAAATCAAAATGAAATCACCCTGCCAAAGTTCCACATCACCAAACCAAAACTAAGTTGTTATTAAACCTTCCAAGAAATTATTAGCGATAACAGCCAATTTCCCAGACAGACCAGTCTCAATCTTCGATCAGGATGATAATGAAGTTCCCTCTGTTTTAATCCTTACAACAAAAAGTAACCTGATGTTAACTAATCAGTTATCTTTTTATGGTTCTGTCTCCCTGTTCCTGCCTTATGAGGAAGGGAACTTTGACACGACCAGTCTGTTTTTTTGTTCTTTGTTTCTGCTTTCTTCAGCCCTTTCTGTCTATAAAACCAACCCCTTCTGTTCAATTCATTGTCACATCTATTCTATTTTATGGAATGAAATGTTGCCAAATTCTAGAATCACAGTAAAGCCAACTGAGATCTTTAAAGCTAAATTTGTCCTTTGACATGCCCAAGTAGACTCAAAGGCTTTTTTCCCCTATTTTTGGAAAATCTTGGCCTTATTTTGCTATATCCAAGCCACTTGTCCAGTGATAAAATCTTGAGCTCACGGGCACTATTTATCAAACATGACCAGGGAGGATTACCTGAAGAACACATAGTTTACTCTTCCAGAAACTCTAAAATGTACACTGAATGAAGAGAGCTCACCTTGTGCAATACTGAATTAAGCGAATTGTGTCTCCTGTAAAACATGTGCTAGACAATGCTATTTACATCACCTCACACTGTCCACGCAGGGTCCACAGAAAGAAATTTTTCTCTGAGCTGAGTGGTAAGCACATCTTCACTTCTCAGTAACTGACTTGACTGTATCTTTGGGTCTTCATAGACTTAAACGCCTACCAGATTCATCTCCTTTTTTTTTTTTCAGTCGGAATCTCACTCATCTCCCAGGCTGAAGTGCGGTGGCATGTTCACAGTCACCCCAGAGTTGACCTGCTGGGCTGCAGCAATCCTTCCACCTCAGCCTTCCAAGCAGCCAGAACTACAGGCGCGCGCTACCACGGCTAACTTTTTGATTTATTGTAAAGATGAGGTCCACCAAGTTGCCCAGGCTGGCCTCGAACCCATGGGCTCAGGCAATCTTCTCACCTCTGCCTCCCCAAAGTGTTGCGTTTACAGGCTTGAGCCACCGCGCCAGGCCCAGATTCATCTCTTTATGCTGGCAGTTAGAAAGCTTAGAGTGGAATTTGGGGCCCATCTATAAGAGTGTAAAGATCACACACATCATTAACTGAATTCCTGGCTCTACCTAGTAGTGGTAGCTGTCTTATTCCTGTATCTTATTCCTGTCTTTTGATCGATTCTACCTTGCATTTTATGTATACTTCTAAGCTGCCGTATATCCTTTCTGCAGCATTACGGAACATAAATGAAAATCATAAACATGGAAGCAGAGATACGATCCATGCCCACAGCGTGATTACCTGCTTCAAAGACAGGGTAGGCAAATGTCTGGAGTTCCCAAAGCTTTATGTATGTAATGCCACAGCATTGGGCTGCAAAGTGAACACTTCTGAGTATAGCAGACCCACACTCTGCTTTCTCATTAAAAGATGACTTTGGTGTCACTCAGAAACAGCCTTTAAGTGCTTAAAAGTAGCTAATAATACACTATCTATGGTGACACAATCTAACAAACAAAATTACAGATATCTATTCTTTTTTTCCAACAGCCTATAGCTACAAAGTGAAGGGAGCGTACTATAGAAAGTAGAAATGGGTCTGGCCTGGTGGCTCATGCCTGTAATCTCAGCACTTTGGGAGGCTGAGGCAAGAGGACTGCTCAAGTCCAGGAGTTCAAGATGAGCCTGGGAAACACTGTGAGACGTCATCACAACTAAAAGTAAAAAAATTAACCGGGTGTGGTTGTGTGCAACTGTAGTCATAGCTTCTTGGGAGGCTGAGCAGAAAGGTTGCCTGAGCCCAGGAGGCTCTGTCATCATGTCACTGCACTCCAGCCTGGGTGACAGGGTGCGACACCAACTCACAAACTTAAAATAAATAGGTAGCCGGGCTCGGTGGCTCAGCCTGTAATCCTGCGCCTTTGGGAGGCTGAGGTGAGTGGATGGCTTGAGCCCACGGGTTCGAGACCCGCCTGGGCAGCGAGACCTCATCTCTACAATCAATCAAAACATCAGCCGGGCATGGTAGCGCATGCCTGTAATTCCGGCTACTCGGAAGGCTGAGGCGGAAGGATCGCTGGAGCCCAGCAGGTCAAGGCTGCGGTGGCCGGGAGCGGCCACTGCACTCCAGTCTGGGCGACAGAGTGAGACTCCAACTCAAAAAATAAATAAATAAATAAATTAGTTAATAAATAAAAACTAGATATACATGAAAAGTGAAATCTTCCATTATTGACATCTTCTTTTTTTTTAACCTGGATTTATTCACTTTCTGGGAGCAGTGGTGAATAGTTAAACAAATCAGATAAATTAAAATGGTTTAAATTGCACATAGCAGCATGACTTATATTTACTTCCAGGAAAAAAAAGTTGCCATAAGTAGGAAATAAAATTTTACCTTGAATTTTAAGAGAGGCAGATTTTGAGATATTTAAAAATTCCTATCATTCAACTGTTGAATCAGATATTCAGTTGTATGTAAATTTTTTTAAAAAGCACTATTACTAACTTACTTGGAAGAAAACTTTTTTTTTTCTTTTCTTTTTTTTTTTTTTTTTGTCGCCCAGGCTGGATTGCAGTGGCACACTCATGGCCACCGCAGCCTCGACCTGCTGGGCTCAGGCAATCCTTTTGCCTCAGTCTTCCAAGTAGTCAGAACTACAGGCGCGCGCTCTTATACCCTTATTTATTGTAGAGACAAGGTCTCATCAAGCTGCTGGCGCTGGTCTTGAACCTGTGGGCTCAGGCAATTCACTCTCCTTGGCCTCCCAAAGTGCTGGGATTACAGGCTGAGGCACCGAGCCTGGTCAAGAAAACATTTTCATAAACGGTTCTGCACTTATTTCTTTTTTAATGTGCTCTGAAAGTATAGTCTTTTTAAAAATCTACCTCCTGTTTCTCTCTTCCAACCAGGATCTAAGTATAATTTTTTTTCTTCAATCAGAAGAAGAAACTATAACAAATAAGACTACTTGTCAAATTATTTTTGTAGACAAAAAAAATATTTTTTTTGGAGTCTCACTTGTTGTCCAGGCTGGAGTGCAGTGGCACGCTCACGGCCACCCGAGCATCGAACTGCTGGGCTCCGGTGATCTTCCACTTCAGCCTCCCAAGTAGCCAGAGTACAGATGAGAGCTACCATGCCTGGCTAATTTTTTGATTTATTGTAGAGACGAGGTCTCGCCAAGTTGCGCAGACAGGTCTTGAACCCTTGGGCTTAGGCAATCCTCTCACCTAGCCTCTCAAAAAGTGCTGGGATTACAGGCTTGAGCCACCATGCCCGGCCTAGACAAAATATTTTTAAACACAGTATATATAAATTTACCACACTGCTTTAGCCTAAGACTCATTTGATTTTTTCTTTGGGAATCTATAATTTCAAATATTAGGATATGAAAGGGCTTTGTAGATTTTCTAGTAAATACAGCTGATCTAAAAAGTTTCATTTCTAAAACATCACAACTAATTAAAATCTTCTCTGAATTCCCATATTTGCTCCAAAAATATTAGTTTAACCTGACCAAATATCTGCTCTCTTAAGAAAGCTGTGTACACACCCATGGAGAAGTGTCTGTTCCAAGTGATAAGAAGAGATATGTGTGTGTTGGCCATGGGCTGGGACTCTCCCTTAGGGCTTACAAGTGTTTGATCTGGTGAATAATGACAGCAAGTTTGAAGAAATTTTTCCCTTGGACATGCAAACCCCTAGAATTACCACATAGAATTTCATATATAATCTATCTTTATATCTATATAAATTATATGTTGATATACATATATGTACAACAAGATAGAATCGTTACATCTAAGATAGATCTGAGAAGAACCATTCAAAACGTGTGAGACGCACTGTACTTAAAATGTACTTGAAGGCTCATTGCTGTAAGGACCACCTAAACGTCCCCAAGCTCTACTGATCAGGAATCTTATTTCCAGGCATCATGTCCTGGAGCATTTGCAGTTTTTCAGTTGGAACTCTCAGCACTTGACTTTAAAAATAGTCTAAAGTCAGAAACTGAAAAACTGATCTATTTTTCAACCCTCAAGTTGCTCCTTAGTCAACACAACACTGAACATTTCTGAACAAAGGATTCTTAAGGTTGGCTGTGGTACAGGCAAGTCCTAAACTTATTAGAGGGAAAATCAGTTATTCACAAAAGAAAAAAATTATGCCTATCCTCAGTTGGAAAAAGATCTATTTTCCCCCTAATGCTGAATTATATATTAAATCCATTCAAATTTTATTTTGGGCCATTAATCTGTAATTTAACATAGTTGTTAAAATAAATGGATGTTTCTGTCTCTTGTATGGCAAATTGTTTACTGGAAGAATAATTCAATGGGTGGAAGATTTAAAATATAGTTTCCCCTGTGTGATTACCTACAAAATGGATACATTTTGTACTCTTGGCAAAATTTACTTGTTACATTTTAACAATGTAATTGCTGACAATAAAACACATGAATACAAAACGATTTCTACACCTTAAATCATAACTAAATTCCTCCACATTTAATAGGATTAGACATATTTCTATAACTAGTTTTTAACAGTTTCTAGAATATGTTTAAGCCCACACAAAAGAAAATCATAGAGTTTTCCTTTAAGAACTACATATTATATTTCATTAATAAAGCTAACTAGAAAAACGCAGATCAACATTACAATTCACAAGTATTGAGCATTCAGCATTCAGTGACCTCCATTTCTAGAATTCACTTCTCAGAGGATGCCACCAGCTATACTGACCCATTATACGTGAAACTTTTGCCTGTAGGCTTGAAGGTGACAAACCCTGAAAGACCACATTTTAGAAGGTACTGCTAAGCTTCATTTGTCCTTACCATAGCTGACTGCCATCAAATTGCCATCCAAAATTGCTTTAGGGGAGCAGTTTCTCCGCAATCTTTTCAACAGATTCCCTGTTTTAACATCCACCTATGTTCCTGAAGAACAGTCTGACCCGGATTGAGCCATGGAGCAAATAATAACACTAACTGCAACTCCAGACAGAAAAAAATAGGAGTTCATTTTCCAGACTCTTGTGGGAATACAGAGCATGTCTGCTGAAACGGAATCCAAGAGTTCAATGATACTGTAGACTCAAGTATGTCTTTATATTCCACGTAATGGCTTTTCCGTTCTTGGTGTTTTATACCACACTTCTGAGCCTGACTTCTGAGAGAAGTCAGGGAAATTCTCTCTTCCTCTCTCATTCTCTCTCTCTCTCTCTCTCTCACACACACACACACACACACACACACACACACACACACACACACACACTCGCTCTCAAACTAAGTTGTATAAAAAGGACAACTGCAAAGTGAGACTCTAACAGAAAGCCACAGGAATTGCTCTGTGTTCTTGAACTCCAGCACTGCAGTTTAAGTCACCTTATGTGAATTTTCTTTTATTTTGAGGGAACACCATTTCTTTAGGTAGTAAATCTAAACTGCTTTCCTTTGGGTTTTGTTTTGCTTCATTTTTGCCAGAGAATGGGCAACTCTACAATCTGCCCTAGGAGAGCCCGAGTATTATATTCTCACTCTGTCATTTCCGACACTGTTTTATCTTCCCCCTTGACAAGGACAGACATGTCATTTTGCTGATATCATTGTTACGCTGTATAAGGGCTTCCCTTTTTCCTGCAGGGGTTACCAAATTCCCTATCACTTCTACATACCGGCCACTTCATATGACTATGTTCTGTGAGCAGACACGCTAGCAATTCTCTTTGGTTTATAGATAGGCCAAATGAGTTTGATTCCATTGGGTCTACCATCTTGCATCACAAAGATTACCTAAAAGAGATAAGGTCTAAACTGTACCTAAGACTACAGAGGGGAATAGCCACACCCCTGGGGAAAAGGTCTTGCTTTTCCCTGCTACTCGAACACTTACTGTAAAAATACCATACTTGGTTCTCTAAAGGTCCATGAGGCATCATCAGGTTGTTAGTACAGACCTGGAGATGTTTCCTCTAAACACACACAGGTGTCAGGAAGCCTATGCCCGTAAACAGGGTCACTCCTTATTTTTCTGTAAGCTTGGTCTAAAGTCTTAAAGAGTAATGTTCTGGACCAACAGCAGCAGGGCTGGTACCAAGGCGCGGTTCATTCCCTGCTCTGCATTTGGCTGGGGAAATGCTTGGTCCTTGGCTGGATCCACAACGCCCCGAAGGAAGCCCTGCTGCATAGCAGTGAATAGTAAACTGGAGACTGCACCTTGAATATAAATCTTGAGAGAAGGTGGAGTCCTTAACGAGAAAAGGAGACCCTGAGAGGCAGAGAAGGGAGGCAAGAGCCCAAGAATCACAAATGTTCTGTTTCTCTGCAGGAAAGAAGACCAGGGGGCAGGACTCACCTCCAGGTCCTCTAAGCTGCCCTCATGAGATGAGTGTTCTCACCTCCTTGCTCAAATACATCTCTGCTGAGATTAGAAGTAACATCAAACACGTATGTTGCCGATTTAAAACAAACAGGGTTTGGTTTGGTTGTATTTGCGATCATATTGAAATTAGCCTCCAACGGTTTTAGAGAAGCTGAGAACTGACATTTATGCAGGCCTACTATGTGTCAGGGATACCTCATTTGAGTCCCACGACCCCCTGGGGTGGTATGGTTGGTCATGTTTACATTGCCGGTGTGGAAGCTGAGGCCCGGAGGGGAGGGGGGGGGCGGAGTGGCTTGTTCAGGGTCACACCATCTAGAACGAGCAGCCAGGCCCGTCCAACTCCAAAAGCCACATTCTATCTCAGAATCTTCTTTTAGGATATTTGATACAGTCCTCATGAGAGATTTATGAGATTCATCTTGAGAAACTAGGGAATAAAGAAGAGAGATTTCCTCATCATTAGATCTGAATCCAATTTTTTAGAAATCTTGTTTTTATATTAAGATACATCATACTTGGTCTCTTTCTCTTTATAAATTTGCAGTCCAAATTATCCCTGTCCTCTCATCATAATGAAATGTTAACCTCTACGATAAACTATTTGATTCTCAATAATGTGAAATCATCACCAAGTCCAAAAAGAACATAAATAAAACTATCACATATTTTAAAACTTGAAATATTCAGAAAGAATACATATAGAACATAATATACTCTATTCTTAAACATTTATTTGTTTAAAATAGCAAATAAAAATTGCATATGTTTACAGCATACAACATTATGCGTTGAAATATGTATGCATTATGGAATGGCTGAACCAAGCATATGCCTTACCTCACATACTTATTTATTTGTGGTGAGAACACTTAAAATTTACTCTTTTAGCGATTCTCAAGCATACAATGCATTGGCATTAACCATAGAAAACAGAAAATACTTCAGACATTCATAAAAAGCAAGTTGAAAAAATTACATTCTTTTCTTTTATGGCATCTTTTATTTTTCCATTTTTAAAAAAGCTATCATATTAAAGCTTTAAAATAATGTGCTAAATTTCAAAGATCTTTATGACTCAAAGAGAAACAGGGAAAATGAAAGCATATTTAATAAAGATGAAAGAAAACCTTCTTTGTTTGAAACATATAAGGACAAACACACATTCTATTTCTTTAAAAGAGCTTGGATCGTCCTAGTTGGGTTTTGTTTTTGGTGTCTGAGTCCACTTTTTAAACATTTCCATTTCCTCCACACACATATTTCTGGACAGTTATGAACAGGAAGTTTTCTCACGTATTTTCCCAAGAAGAAAGTCTTCCAGCTGCACATAGACTTTCTCATTGCCCCCTAATATTAAAGTTCTGGACAAACATTTTAATTACGAATTTAGGAAAGATGAGACATTTTAAAATTTAATACATTTTGCCCTTTTTACAGACTGTGTAGAATAAAGCCTTAGTATGCTTGAAAAATCTCTTAGCAACTGCGAGTGGAGCTGGCCAACAATGGATGATTCATTGATTTAGCTTGAGTGTGCAGGAATGTCTGCCAAAAGGTCTGAATAAACTCACATTGCTAGACACTATGGTAAAACGTACCCTGACCTCTTTTAAAACTCTATCAGAGCGGAAAGTTAAACTTGCAGCTTTCCAGCAATTCACTGGCATCTGGAAATATGCTTCGATTCTATCTTGCTTTTATAACAATCAATAGAATTTCTTGGATTATCATTTACACCTAATTAGACAATGGCTGCAACTAATTGGAGATTTCCAAGGGGACGCCAATGTGTTTTTAAGCGCTAAAAATAATGGTGGCCTATTCAATTTAAATCTGAAAGGAGGCTTTTTGAAATCTAAAACTGAAAGGACTGATTGTTGGTTTTCTTGTAATATTGACCCAAGAATTATGAAAGATTACCCTAAACAATAATTTGCACGTTTAAAATTGGTAAACATTATGTAACAGAGACCCCCCTGTCTGTCGGTATTCGTATATGTGCAGAGATTATACCACAACATCTTATCTTACATTTGCTCATATATAAAATTCAAAAGAGTTTGGCTCTTTTGCTTACATCTACCACTTGTCTCCTCCAACATCCTTTTTAGGGGTAAGTATGACTTCTGCTTTAGAACTAAAAGACTGTATACACAGAATTTTTAATTGTTGGCTTGGGCTCACAGCTATTCAAATTAAAGGCAGGCCAGGTTTACAATACACATTTTCTATTGCACCACCTCGCTTCTCACAACTTCAGCAGCTATAATAAATACAATTCATGAAGCCAAATCCTTCCTTCCCAGTGTTGGACAAAGATGTACTTCCTAATTTGTTTTGTCCTTGACAAACATAAGCATGGAACAAGGGATTTTTCTGCCTAAGAAGGAGTTTTGCTTTTGTCTGTTTTCTGCATCCTCCTCTTCCTCCTCCTCACCTTTCTCTCCTTTTTTTTTGTTTTGTTTTGTTTTTTGAGTTGGAGTCTCACTCCTTCGCCCAGGTTGGAGTGTAGAGGCACACATGCTCACGGTCACCCCAGTGTTGACCTTCTGGGCTCCAGCGATCCTTCCACCTCAACCTTCTGAGTAGCTGGAACTACAGACATGCGCTACTATGCCTGGCTATTTTTTATTTTACTGTAGAGACGAGGTCTTGCCAGGTTGCCCGGGCTGGTCTCAAACCCGCGGGCTCAGGCAATCCATTCGCCTCGGCCTCCCAAAGTGCTGGGACTACAGGCTGAGCCACGGAGCCCGGCCTTTCTCTCCTTTTTCCTCCTCTTCTTTTTTGTTAAAATATTCAGAGAATAAGTATTAACTGAAAGCTCCCCCTCTACTCCTAGTCTTTCTCCTAGAGGTAACTACTGTTACCCGTTTTGAGTTTTCTGTTCTCTGGGTATTTACATACTGCTCTCTGGGTGATTACATGAATATATATAAAATATATAATTTTGATTTGTGTTTTTTTTTCCTGCTTAACATATTGTCATATGTTGTTCTATAATTTATTTAAAAAGCACTTCTTGAAAATCTCTTTTATACCTATACATAAAAATTGGCTTCATTTTAAAAATTGCTAAAAGGGATTTCATATCAACAGTATGTAGCTTACTTTCTAAAACGGGGCAAGTTATACACGTCCACCAAAAACACAGCTGTTCTTCCAACATAATCTAGATGAACTTATAGAACGAAACAGTGTATGGAAAAGTGCACATGAGTGGGGACACTGAGTTTAGGGTTTTACTTCACTGATGACAAGTCTATGTATCTGACAGCAGTGGGAGCAACAAATGAGCTCTTTACGATGGACAATGAAATCCAAGTAGGAAGATGGAGAGAATGGGAATCTTGCAAGAAAGGGACATGTCACTTGGGGATCACAACAGGAGCTAGAGCTTTATGGGTCAAAGTCGAACTGAGCACACATGGTGCTTGCCCTCATGGAACTACCAGTCTATCTCCGAAGACCCTCCATTTTCACCCCTGCCTCTCCATTCCCACAGTCACTACAGTGGGATCTCCCCCTCTCGGCAAAAAAAAAAACCCAAAAAACAAAAAACCAACCAGAATTGTCTTTCGGAGGGTGGACTTCTTGTA